CTGCCAAATCAGAAATGCCCTGAAGGCATGTTCAGGCCACCAAAAAAAAAAAAAAAAAAGTAGAGCAATAAGAGACTAAGAAAATGTTTTGCATGGAAAAGCAATGCCCTTGGATATTTTGCCATAAACCATCCAATGTTTAACTTAGTATTCATTTTTTCTCATTAGACTTTAAATATAGTGAAACAAAGAAGCAACTTTGATTTCATAGTACACTGAAAAATTATGTTTTCTTCTTTAATCCTGGCTTTGAGAACACATTCATTCTAGAAAATACCTAAGCTTGTAATTTAAGCAGGATTGTTCTTCAGTTGATTGGGTATGGGTCTCTAGGGAGCCTCATGGGATTCAGCAAAGTTTCTGAAAGGGTTACGCAATGTGTACATATGAACTAGGGTGCCTACTTGTAGAGAATGGATCCATATCCAAAGTTAAAGACCACAAACTCAGGTATCTTCCATTAAAATCCTTCTTCCAGATTCAGTAAAATATGGGTCAGCATTTCCCCTTTATCTGTAGCTCTGTCATTATCAACTTGGTCACATAAGTCTTGCTCCTCAAATATTCTTTAACCAAACTGACTGTAGCACTGTAATCTCCACTGAAAAAATCTCATCCTGTCTCAACTTGCAGGAAAAAAACATTTGGCCTTGAACATCTCTCTCCCTTTGTCAATCTGTGTGTCCTCTACCACCACCCCCAGTTCCTACTATAAAGGTGGGATTTTCAAAGTGGAAAAAATGTGACAAAAATTGTGTTTGAATTTATCTGGTCACTTGACCATGGATCTCCAATATATTATATAGGTTTTATATTGAAATATTGTGAACATGGTAGAATACACACACACACACAAAAAGAAAATTTAAGATAACTAAAAAAATGTCTAATACACTATGGAGTTTTTTGGGGGGAATTCATCAATGGTTGTAATATTGCATATTGTTGTCTTCAAAATAGTTGTTCCAATTACCAGATACAAGCATGCAAAATTGGTCAAAAAATTAAAAAGAAGAGAGGAAAAGAATTTAAGCAGCTGGGGACATAGCTCAGCAGCATAAGCGCCTACCTGGCAAGCACAAGTTCCCAAGTTTGATTCCTAGTACCAAAAAAGAAAAGAAAAAAAGAGAATTTAAGCATTAACTGCCCCTTTCAATAGACCAGCAGAAATAAAAGACCAGCAGTACAATTGTCCAAGCTGTCCTATGTATATACCTATAATTTTTCCCTTCCTTCTTTCTTTTCTCCATTCCTTCATCCCAGTTGTTTCTTCCCTTTGAACAGATTCTTTTCCCTCCACAGTATCTATTATACCTTTGAGATTTTATTTATTCTTTCAGATTCTTACACTAAGGAGACAATATGATGTTTACACATGCAGCACTGATTTATTTCACTTCCGAATATGGTCTCTAGTTACATCCATTTAGCTATAAAAGCCTTGAGTTTATCTTTTTTATAGCTGAGCAATACTCCATGATATAAAAATAGCACATCTGTTTTATCCATTCCTCAGTTGACAGCCATTTGGGTTGTTTCCAAGATATAGTTATGAGAATCTGCGCAGTTAAAAACATGGATGCACATATATTGCTATGGTATGATGTTTCAGTTCTTCTGGGAAAATACCCAGCAGGGGATAGCTGGGTTGAATGGGACCTCCAATCCTAGCTTTTTGAGGGATCTCCACACTGACTTCTGATTTTACACTATGGATGTTTTAAGTATTTTTTCCCCACCTCCTTGTAGAACTTGCCTTGGGGACTATAAACTTAGACCATGCCTTGAGAACATGGTTTCTATTCCAAGCCAACACATCGGGAGCTTCCCCTAACCCATAAACTCATGGTTAGAGGACTTAGCTGAGAAGATGACCTGAACAATACTCTGGATCCTGTGTCTCCTGCCTGTATTATTCCTCTTTATCTGCTTCTCTTCATCGGAGGAGAATACTCGATGTGCCAACCTGGGATTAAGTCATTGATAATGTTGTTGTTGTTTTTAATCAGAATACATTTTGCCTGCAATGTACCCCAATGTTCTACAACTACAAATCAACATTTGAACCTGTATTTCTAGCTGTGTTAGCAATGGATATGTTCTTCAGAGAGGCCACAGATGCAGGCCTGGGTCACACAGCAGCAGGCCATCTTTCCTTTCCTTCCACAAGGAGCAGCCTACAGCTTCTCCCTACACCATTATGTTTTCTTTCTCTGAAGGGGGCAAACCTAAAGCACAAGCTTCTCATCAGTTCTCACCACCTTCCAAGGGGAGGCAGTGAGGTGAAGAAGCAGAGCACCCCACTTTCCTTCCCATGGGGATCATCCAGGTCCATGCACGGAAGTGATTTGCAGAAGCTACCAGAAAAGGAGAAGTCTAGAGACCAAAGGTGTAGCTCCCAGGACCTACTTTGTTTCATTTAGGGAGAACTAAAGGGAAGCTCTTTGAGTTGATTGCACAGCTAGACAAACAGTCTATAAGGAATAAGATATACAGAAAGTTAATCATGGTTCCCCTGGGGACATGGGGTCACTTTGAGTGGGTGTGAGGAGAGGCATGTGGAATCATTTTTAAATCCATATGTAGTCCAGCTGCTCTCAGACAAAATGACATCAAAACCTGGTAACAGACACAAAACTGTCAGGACGTCTAGAGGACAAAAATGTAACTAAAGGGCAGCAGAACTCACCTGCACTGATGCTAACAGAGCCAACAGATCCAAAGGCAACCGTGGGGGCCTGGCTCCTCAGCTAACACGGAAAGCACTGCCACTCCCTCAGAGAACAGAATCAGAGCACCACGGCAGAGAGCGGCGCTGCCAGTGGAGGTTATCTTTGCTTCCTTTTCAGACTGGCTGAGTATCACCGTGCCACACAGGGCCTATGAAGGAGACGAGGTGACTATAAGGTGCTCTGGGGAGGACAATAGCGCCATAAAAGAGCTAATGTACTACAAGAATGGATATCAAATATCTACTTACTCCAGCGCCTCAAGCTATGTTATTTCTAATGCAAGAACCGGGGACAGTGGCCAGTATTCCTGTAAGGCAAATAGGAAGTACCTCTGGTTTCTAAGTAAGAATGAAGAATCAAAATCTGTGTGGCTCAGTGTCCAAGGTGAGGGCCTCATTCTTCAAGCGGAGGGACCGGGGAAGGAGGAGGGCTTTTGTGGGAGGGCCAGGGTACAGGAAAGAGGAGAACACACAGGGAGGGAGAGCTGGTAGGTGGGCCACATGTGACTGAGGCTGCGTCTGTGTATCTTGTTACCTCACCCACTTTTCATCAGGAATTCCACACTCAACCGCTAGGCTGATGTCTGTCTCATCTTCCTCTCCAGAGCTGTTTCCAGTGCCTAAGCTGACTTTCAGCCCCTATTGGCCTACAGAAGGAAACTCAGTGACCCTGTCCTGTGACACCACACTTGCTTCAGATAGATCATGGGTCTCTCTGCACTATGACTTCAGCAGAGACCACGGCATGCTAGCTTGGGAGGAGTGGTGGCCAAAGTTTGTGATCTCATCCATAAGCAAAGACGACTCAGGGTACTACTGGTGTGAAGCAAAGGCATTATCCTACAGTGTCAAGAAGCAGAGTAGCAAGACCTACATAAGTGTGCAAAGTGAGTATCAGTGGGCAGGGCTCTGGGGCTGGTTCGGGGTAGCAGCTCAATGATGGGCTCATTTTTCAGTTGTGCTCCCTGAGCCCTGTGAGTGTGGGGGCTCCTGTGGCTCACCTGGGCTCTTTCTATCCATTCCTGCAAAAGCATCACTTCCAAATATCTTTGTTCGCCCAGTCAGGAAGCAACAATAATAACAGCTCTCTGGAGCATTTATCGTACAGCTAGTGCTGAGGTGTGCTCAGCAAACCAAGAGGTAGATAAATTATGGTCTCTGTCTGCAAGAAAGAGTTCCCAGCTGTAAGATTCATTTGAGCCAGGTAGAGCAAGGAAGGTCTATAGTAAAAGTAATAGTAGAAATCACAATGCGATCCCTGGTATTTACTAGGTGGCCTAATATATGCCAGGACTGAACTTTAGCTCTTGGGTTCAGTTCTAGCAAAACCCCTCCAATGCTCACAAACATCCGCAGAGAAGATTCAGGGACATCTATCATGTACACGGTGCCACTCACAGAAATTTCATTCTTGCTTGTCGCAGAAGCCCTGAGAAATAGTATTCTGAATAGTACCCACAAAACAGGCACTGTTACACTTCCCATTTTACAGATGGGAAAATGGAAGGCAGGTAACTGTGAAGAAACTTACCTTAGATAACCCAGCATGTGGAACTGGACTTGAACCCAGTCACTGGGGCTCCACTGTCTGGCTTTTAACCACTTTGCAGCCTTTGCAACTCAACCACATGGGTGACGAGCAGCATTGATAACAGATGCTGCTTAACAGCTTCCCTGCAAAAGGTACTTCATAGCTTTCTTGCTTAATCTTTAGGAAACTGTGAGGTTAGTCCGATGGTTTATATTTAAGTTTTACTTTTTTTTTTTTTTTTTTTTTTTTTTTTTTTGGTGGAACTGAGGATTGAACTCAGGCCCTTATCTCCCCAGCCCCCTATATTTTAGTTTTGAGAAAACCGAGGATGATGCAATGAACAAGTTGCAGAGCTGAGGTGGGACTCAGGTGAGCCAGCTGTCTAGTCTGCGCTCTTCCTGCTGCTTCTGTTGCCTTCACTACGAGGAGGCCACTGCAGGCTGTAGTCATTAGAGAGACAACAGGATGTAGAGCAGGTGCAGGGCAGGATTGTTACAGAGAGATAAATTAGAAGGTAGTCCTGTAACAAGGAGGATGGGCTCTCCTCTGCCTAAACTCATTTTGAGCCACTCACGTGCCATGATGCTCAAACTTCCTCTTTCCCTTTCACCCCTTCCCCATACCTGGCCCTCACCTCCTGTCTCTTGTTCATGCAGGGATCCCTGTGTCTGAAGCCTCCATGAGGACCCATCCCCCAGGAGGTCAGGCAGTTGAAGGGGAGAGACTGATCCTTGTCTGCTCCGTGGCTCAAGGCACAGGGTACATCACATTCTCCTGGTATAGGGAAGACACAAAGGAGAATCTGGGGTCCAAAAGTCAGCGCTCCCAGACAGCAGAGCTACAGATCCCTGTGGTCCAGGAGAGCCATGCTGGGGGTTACTACTGCACCGCTGAGAACAGCTATGGCACCGTTCAGAGCAAGACAGTGAACATCACTGTGAGAAGTGAGTAGCATTCTGTCAATCAGTTAGTCAATCAGTTAGCTTCATCAGGAGCAATGAGGATATTCCAAGGAGATGTCAGGGTGCAGAGCTTGGAGAGGGTGAGAAACCATTTGAACAAGGCAGGATTGCTGCTGTGATGGTGGTGGTGGCAGCAGCAGTGGCCAAAGAGCTGAAGGAGGGGGTGAAGGTAGAATAGAAAGCAGGCTACATGAGGTGCAGAACCATAGCTCTCCATACAAATCAGCAGAGCTGTGCTGGAGCTGTCTCTGCAGGATTAGATCAGGAGGAACAACCCAACATAGAAAGGGCTGTGAGTACAGTGAGGACCTTAAGGAAGGTGGGTGAGCTGTGGGCCATGACACCCTCTCTGATGGACCCTGCTGCTTCTGTCAGTTCCAGCCTCAAGTCCCCTTCTCAACATTAGTGCTCCTGGGACCCTGGCATTTATTGGTGAAGTGGTGAAGCTCCACTGTGAGGACTGGAGGGCTTCTCCCCCGGTGGAGTACCAGTTCTATCATAATGACCTCATTCTGGGAAACATCTCAGCACCTTTGGGAGGAGGAGCATCGCTCAGCTTCTCAGTGGCTGCAAACCACTCTGGAAACTACTCCTGTAAGGCTGACAATGGCTGGGGACCCAAAGCCAGTGAGGTGGTAACACTGAATGTCACAGGTAGGACATGCTAAGTGTCATCTTCCAGAGAATTAGTTGCCATTATACCGAGTAATGGTCTGTGTTTCCTTTTCATTGGATTTTCCTGTCCCTCAAGGAGTTCAAGTTCTACTAAACAGCCTCTCAGGAGGCTGGGGAGATAGCTCAGTAGAATAAGTGCTTGCTTGGCAAATGCAAGGACCTGAGTTCAATCCCCGGTTCTGGAAAAAAAAAAAAAAAAAAAAAATTAGGGACCAAGTAGATGGCTCAGTGGAATAAGTGCCACCATACTCAGCATGTCCTAAAAACAGTTTACTTTTCTATTCCTTTCATGTAAAAAACTATGAAATGGTTTGTATGGCATTTGAAGCTATCAGGTCCCTGTCAGGAGTAGGCCACAAAAGGAGAAGAGGTAGACTTCCCTGAGGAAAAGTTAGAAAAGATTTTTGCTTACTTGGAGCTCACAATAAATGAGACACAACTAATCCTTAAAGATACTTAAGGAAAAAACAGGAAATCCATGGACAAAACAGATTATGAGATTTAGATTTTTACTAGGATTATCTCATTTAATCTCCACATCAGTTCTCCTTTTACAAATGCGATAACGCAATTTAGATTTAAGTAAGTTGTCCAAGGTTATTCAACAGGGATACAATGAACAGGTACAAAGTTGGAACTTTAGGCCAATACTACCAGAATCAAGAAACCTTGCTCTTTGATACCATGTTAATATATCATGTTGAATACATGATATTTTTCCTTCAATCTTTATTAATAGAGAACTGTATTAATAGTCTGCCTATAAACCCTTTTTAAGCAGCATAGATTGTAACTGTATACAACTCGCTCATGATTTAATTCAAGTTTTTACACTTTGTTTTGTTTGCTTGGTACTGGGGCTTGAAAATAGGCTTCACACATGCTAAACAGGCCCTCTACTACTGAGCTACACCCCGCCCCTCTGCATTGTATTTATAAGTGAGGGCTGTTTTTGTTTTTGTTTTCATGGATAGGTTAGACTTATAAGAATGATTTCAGGAGTTCCATGATTTCTGCAGCAATTTAAAATACCATTGGAATTGTCTGCCATCTGGAGAGTCTTAGATAAACTAGCCCAAGTACCTTCAGAAGCCTGATAATTTTGAACTTCTATTGTCAAATCTTTTACATTAGTATTTTCAAATTTTCTAAGCTTTTAAAAATACAATTTAGATGTTTTTATTCAAAACATTAAGTGTGCTTTATCTTTATAGAATCTTGTATGTGTTTACTCTCTTTAGTCTATTCATTTTACTAAAATTGTGTTCTCATTATTGCCTATGATTTCATATCTACCTTTGTTGGGGCCTTTGCTATGATCTTAGTAAGTGACTGGTGGTATGGGGTATTTTATTTTGGTTGGGAATGATAGAAATCTTATATGGACTGACCTGACCAGGACCCACCGAAAGTGTTATGTTGGTGGGAAGGTTGGGAATGGCCTGGCGTTATGTGGGCCTGGATCCGTGGGCTCTGTATTACCCCCTGTTTCCTCCGCATTCCTCCATTAACTTGTTAAACTGTCAAATGTGGCCCTCAACCGCTCTAGCTTTATATCTGTCCTCCTTTTTGCCAGAGATGACCCCATTAAAAAAGAAAAAAAAAAGACAGAAATTAGAGACTAACCTGTCTGCATGAGTGTGCATGTTCCACCCTGCACAGAGAGAACGCAGTGGATGGCTGTGGTTGATCCAGTCATCGGGAGGTATGGAACCATTTTTTGCGGTCTCAGCCTCCAATTCTAGGAAAGAAAGCCTTAACTCTTCTGCGCTCTAAGAGCCCATGAGAAACCAACTGCAAGTCTCTATGTCCCTGCTTTTCTTCACTTTCAGGGTGAAAATAATACTTCTTTCCTAAGTATCATTGGGACCACTGGTGAGACCAGGTGGTTGTAGGAGATAGCAGTGGAGGGGCGCACAGCCAACGCTTGGCATTCTCACTTTACGCCATCCCCTGCCTCATCAGGCAGCCTCTTCCTGCAGTGGGGGCTGCTGAAGAGCAGGTGCCTTCCTCAGAGTGCTAACCCTTCCTTTGCAGAGGCCCCACCCAAGGTCCGCCTGGTGAATGGTCTCCACCGCTGTGAAGGACGAGTGGAGGTGGAACAGGAAGGGCGCTGGGGCACTGTGTGTGATGACGGCTGGGACCTAAAGGACGTGGCCGTAGTGTGCCGGGAGCTGGGCTGTGGAGCAGCCAGACACACCCCGGTAGCCCTGCTGTACCCACCTGTGGCAGAAGAGGCCCTGCCCGTGCTCATCCAGGTGGCCATGTGCAACGGGACCGAGGTGACACTGGCTGAGTGTGAGCAGGTGGAGGCCTTCGACTGCGGGCACGATGAGGATGCAGGGGCCGTGTGTGAAGGTGGGTATGGCGGAGTCTGGGGTTGGGCAGGTACGCCGCCCAGCCAGCCTCTTCCTTGGCTACCAACCCCCCATTTCCTTACCAGTCCCTGCTGTCCCTTTCTCCTCTCAGAACCACACATCCATTTCACAGCAGTCTGTAGCCAGGACAACATTATTAGTTCGTATTAAGTTGGGTCAGAGTCATAAAGAACTTTCTTCTATGTATTCAAATTATTTTATCCTCTCAAAAGACAAAGCATCAGTGCTTTTATGGTTGTGGATTGAGAGAGAATGCCAAGAAAATGATTATTAAACCATTCAATTATACAATTTGAGTAGTCATAATCAAAGTGACCCTGCTTACATTGTTCTGTAACCTTCTCAGTTCTTTTGAGCTCTTTCTTAAAGAATCCTGTTCATCAAAATGAAGCCCAGGGCTGGCTGAGATAGATCGGCGGACTGAGTGCCTGCCTTGGCAACTGCAGGGACCAGGGTTGGATCCCTCATCCCACATGCTGCGCTGGCCCCGCCCGTCGGGGCTGGTTGAGCCGGAGACCGAGTTGAAGCGTGGTGGTGCACCCCTGTAATTCCAGGGGTGGGGAGGCAGAAAACAGGAGGATCACTACAAGTGCAAACTGCATAATGAGACCCTGTACTAAATACATTAAAAAGGAGAAGAAAAAAAAAAAAAAAAACGAAGCCTTTGAAGGGCCGGCCAAATAGCTCAGCGGATTAAAGTGCCTACTTAGGCAGACACAGAGGCCTGGAGTTCGATCCCCTGGCCTGCAGTGCCGGCCCAGCACTGAGATGGCAATTGAGACTGGGCGTGGTAGCGCACCTATAATCTCAACACTTGGGAGGCTATAAACAGGAGGAGCACTACAAGTCCGATCTGAGTTTCCACAGAACCCTTCAATGCCATGAAAGTTGGGGAGACCCTTGCTCCAACCTCCATGGAGCCCTCCAGGGCCATGAGCCAGACACATGCTAGCCTTTCAGAGGTGAGAAGAAAAATCATTAGGACCTTTGAGGAGCTGCCTCTTGCTCAGAAGATGGTGTCAGTAAGGGGCACAGAAGAGGATCTGTCCTTTGGAGCTGGCTGTGTGGCACTGATTTGATTTTTTTTTTTTTTTCGGAACCGGGGATTGAACTCAGGCCCTTGCGCTTGCCAGGGAAGCGCTTATTCCACTGAGCTATCCCCCAGCCCCCACGCACACTCTTGAAAGGCCTTTTGTAACGGCTCAGGTCTGGAAGAAGACCTGAGGGCTGATTTGGAATGGCTCCCACATGAGTGCTGAGTCTGAGGCGAGTGGCAGCCTCCTTCCTCCTTCCCGGCCTCATTTCTTCTTGGGGAATCTCCCGAGTGTGTTTAGGCTGTTCTTCCCTAGATCACCCCCTCCTGACCCTTCTTCCTTTTTTCTCTACAGCGTCGTAGCCTGGTACTTTCTGAAGATCTGGAGACTGGAAGCCAGCAGTGCTCACATTTTTCCTCTTCTAGGCCTCGCAGACCTCAACGGCCCCACACCTCTCAGTGGACTTGATGGCTCTGCTCGGGATTCTCCCTCGGCAGGACTCTAACGCTGGCCTTCTAGACCCAAGTCACATCCCAGTGCATTAAAGGCAAACTGTCTCCCAAAGAGAACAGGCCTGGAGAAATTGTTCTCACATTGTGGCTTGTCCACACTTCCCCAGGCTGCCTGGAGATCCTAGGCTGCTTCCCTGGGCAACTGTAGCGGCTGGACATGGAGCCAAAAAGAAATGAACTGAGGTGGATTGAGCTCTACGTGTGGTAGAAATGCGGATACACAAAACAGGAGAAAGAAGACGGAGGGAGGGGGAAAAAAACAGAAGAAATGAAGGAAAACTGTGGGTGTTCAGTTTCATTTTTAAGTGACTTGAAGAGTAGTCTTTGAAAGGAATCTTTTTTTTTTTTTTTTTTTCAGAACAGGCCCTCATGCTTGTCAGGGAAGTGCTTATTCTACTGAGCCATCTCCCCTGCCCCAAGGAATCTTTTAAAAATATTTGTTTAAATTACAAATATAAAGCACATTAGAAAACAATGTTACATAAAAAAATAAAAGAAAGGTAAAAAATCAGCCAAATTGCTAATACTCAAAAGTAACTACTTTTCTGATACTTTCAAAAAGCTTTTATGAACATATAAATATATATATGAATAAGCACATAGTTGCACTTACTGTTTTGTAAACTGCACATTATTTGTAGTATTTATTAAATTTAACAATACAATTTCAACAGAAATTCCATAGGTACAGAAAATACACATGAAGAGACAATCATATGTACATATAGGCTTTCTTGAAAGGCAATCTTAGTGTCAAAAGAATTTGATACAAAAATTAATGTAAAAAAATTTACACTAGGGGCTGGAAAGATGGCTCAGTGGTCTAAAGCACCTACTTGGAACAAGCTTGGCAAAGCATAGGGACTGCGGTTCAATCCCCCAGCACCACATGCCAGCCAGCCCCACCCCCCCAGGTGGGCTGAGCTGGCCACACACACACACAATAAATAAATAAAATAAAAAATTTTTTAAAAAAATTTACACTAATGTCTTACATCCTAAAACTATCATCTCAAGAAAGCAAATCCTTCCTAGTGTAGAGGTGCACACACTTGCAATCCACACTCAGGAGGCTGAGGCAGGAGGATCACTGCATGTTTGAGCTACATAGTGAGTTCAAGGCCACCCTGAACTACATAGTAAGATCCTGTCTCCAAAAAACAGGAAAGGAAGCAAGCAAGAAAGAAAGAAGGAAAGAAAGACAGACAAAAAAATCCTGATACAAAAAGGCCTGTTATCCTTTTTTTATTAGAATATCCTAGCTTTATTAACACACAACAACTAATGGGGAGACATGGCTCAAATATGCAGCCACAGTGACCATTCAAGTATGTCACTGCAGATGCGACACTGGCACATACACATCGTGTAAGTGCGAGAGACAAATGCCTGACACCTGTCCCTGCAGCAGCTGCTCACAGCAGAGATGACCACAGATCTGAATGCATGTCACCATGGGTAGACACATCTCTGCAGGGAGAAATGTAGAGCCCAATTCCTGCATTCGCTGTTCTTCACCCAACTTGCCCCCTTAGGTAATTCTCCTCTCCTCTCCTCTCTTGAAGAAGCAAAAAAAAGGATAATCCTCACATGGACATTTGAAAGCAGGGAACTCATGGATCTCATATCATTTTGGCCTGGATTTAAGTTCTAATGGAAATTAGGTTCCTGCATGTATCTATCTAGTCAATGACATTAAATTGCCCGGAAGCATGCTGGATGGTAAAGACAAATCTGTTCAGTGTTTTCAATTTTGAAAAAGGCCTTTTAAGCTAATCACACTCATTGGTTTTGAGAATGTAAATGGAAACACAACACATGTACCATGATGTAACCCACATTAGGAGCCCCAAAGCTCCAACGTTTATTGTTTAGTACCGTCTAAATCTCAAAAAATGTTTCTATCATTTGTCTTTTTTTTTTTTTTTTTTTTTTTTTTTTTTTTTGTGGAACCAGGGATTGAACTCAGGCCCTTGCACTTGTCAGGCAGGTGCTTATTCTACTGAGCCATCTCTCCGGCCCCCTCAAAAAAATGTTTGACTGGATAGTTTCTTCTAGAAATTGACTGAGTATATTGGCACACACCTGTAATCCTGGCACTTGGGAGGCTGAGGCAAGAGGATCACTGTTAGTTCAAGGCCAGCCTGGGCTAAGTAGTGAGACCCTATCTCAAAAAAACAAATGACAAAAAAATTGACAGTTGTTTTGAATCTGGGTGGATACTGGGAGAAGAAAAGCAGCTTATATTTTTTTCAGATTAGATGCCTGTATTGATAGATACTTTATTGAATATATATTACATGCTAGCTTTTTTATGTTAATTCACGTTGTAAGTAAAGCTTCAAAAGCTGGGGTTTTTAGGATTTCAATTTGGATGGTGTTAGAATTTTATTGTCATCAGAGGTTAACTTTAGGAGAAACTGATATTTTTCTAACATGCCATCTTCCAAGCCAAGAATGATATATTGTTCCATTTATGTTGTCTTTGTTTCAGTCTCTCAGCAGTTTTTTTAATTAGTCTCCTATGAATTTTACCTGTGTCTTGTTCATTTTATTTTTAAAGTCTATACATTATTGTATAGATGTTTTATTCCACTCTGTCTCAGATGTCTATTTTACTACTTAGGCTAAATGTTGGGCTATACCCACGATTTTTCTGTTAGTACATGTTTGCTGTACATGCCTTTTGGTTCATCTTAGGGAGCAGTGCATGAACATAACACATTTCTATTTTTTTTTTTTTTTGCAGAACTGGGGATTGAACTCAGGCCTTTGCACTTGCGAGGGAAGTGCTTATCCCACTGAGCCATCTCCCCGGCCCCTAACACATCTTAATTCCCTTTTATTCCCTTTCCCCTGCCTGCACATCTGCCTCTCTCCATCTTTAAATCTCCCTTTCTCATTCTCATTATTATTATTATTATTATTGTTGTTGTTGTTGTTGTTGTTGTTGTTGCTGTTATCATTAGTCCATACTTATCACGCTTATCGTACCAATTAATTTTTGTAACCCAAGTTTTTCACAGAGTTCTCATATCATTTCTAATAACCTCAGTTAATTCACTTAGGTTCCCAAGATACCTTATCATATTTCCAGGTGAGCTAACTCTGCCTCCTCCTACCTCCTATAGCGCTCCTGCTTCTTGCCTTCCTAAGGGCATTGGCCAGCTTTGCAGGAACAATGTTAATTATTCATGATGATAACAGACATCCTTGCTTTATTTACAGATATAATAGGTATGCATCTTTGTTTCCCCATTAATCATGATGCTTGCTTTTAATTTATATATGTATATACAATTATCAAAGACTTATCTGCTACATAAATCAGCAAAAATTTTGTTTACTCTCTAGCCAGAAATAGATGTTGAATATTTTAAGCATCTTTCTGGTATTGCTTTTGTTCCCTTTTCTTTTAATATGATGAATTGTATTAACAGATCATAATTCTTGCAATGATACCTGGATGTAATATATATTAATATCCTGCTGAATCCTATTTGATAGTATCTTACGTAAGATTTTTGCATAGATGCACAGTAAGAATTTATCTGTAGCTTTTTATTCTTACTTTGAAAAGCTTTGATACCAATGCTATATTGATTTCTTTTTATGTTAGCAGCTTTATTTCTCTGTAAGCAAAAAAACAATCTAAACTCTACTAAATCTATCTTTTTCTTGGAGAGTGAAAAGAAAAAGAATAGGAAATCGTCTAACCTGATATGTTTGGAAGTGTGTCTCCCAAACAATATTATCAATATTTTTCATGACTATTATTCTATTTGTTTAAAATCATGTACATAAAATATGATAATTCATATGGATAAAATTGGATAACTCATATTTTCTGTTGGGTGTAGGTTTTCAAATGCTATACATTTCATTACCCCTTCTTTCCTGATTAGTCTGTTCAGCAGCTTCTCTATTTACTTTTCATGGAAAAGCTTTTGAGTTTATTCATATATTCTATTGTGAGAATCTTTGTTTAATTCATTAGTGTCTGCTTTTATCTTAATTGGTTTTGTTGATATTTTCTTCAATTCTGAAAATCAACACTTTTCATATTGCCATTATTTCTTGTTGATATTCTTTCCAAGTGTTTAATGAATTTCCCTGAGAACGCTTTTAGTTATAACCCTCAGGTTTGCACATATAGTATTTTTATTATCTTTATTTTTGCATTCTCTAATATCACTTCTTTCTTTCTTTTTTTTAAACAGGGAATCAAATTCAGGACCTTGCACATGCCAGGCAGGTGCTGTGCCACTGAGCTGTATTCCCAGGCCATTTCTTTCTTTTTTTTTTTATTTGATCCTAAAGTTGATTTAAAAAGACATTCTTACAGCTAACTGTTGGACAAGATTTTTCCCTAATTCTTTGTTTTGTTTAATAATTTGAGGCACATATGGCGATGTTATATCTATAATCCCAGCACTCTGGGAGGCTAACACAAGAGAACTAAGGTTCAAACTCAGGCAACATAGCAAGACCTTATTTCAAAATAAAAGATTTTAATAGAGTTGGGAATATAGCTTGGCACAAAGTGTCTGGGATCAATCCCCAGTGCTAAAAACAAACAAACAAACAAAACTGATTGCATTTGTAACACTGTGGTCTAAAATATGATCAGTTGTTGGAGACAGCCCACAAGCACCTAACAGGCCGTGAATTCTTTGTTACTACGTTCCAGAGTTCAATATCTATCTCTTAGGAGCTCCTTATTCCTCAGACCATTCAAATCATGCACTTCCTTATTTTTTATTTGCTTGGTCGGCTAGGTCTACAGAACTCGTTTGTTATTGTCATTGCGCTTAAGTTTATTTCTCTTTTGCGTTCCTGAAGTCCATGTGTCAAGTACTTTGCTGTCATAATATTTAATTCCAAAGATTTATGGGGCTTAGAAGAGACATATAATTTAGCCTTTTCCCCTCGCCTTCAGTGCTGTTTGCCTTGATATATCTTTGCCATTTTTTTGCTTTTAACTTTGCCAAGCTACTATCTTTGAGATATCCTTTTGTATATAATATACTGCTGAGTTTTGGTTCTGTGTTGAAGACAAAATGCTTTATACTCTGTTTTCTTTTTACTCCATTGAACCTTTTTCCTTCATTATGTTTTCCTTCTCATTTTGTAGCCTCAAACACAGAGTTAATCCTTCAGTTTATGGCTTGCTCCCC